TGCTTTGTGCTGATGAGGTGACTCCTGGTGGGCCCCAAAGCAGATTCCGGTTGGGGGCTGGCTGCCAGAGGAGCCAACCTGTGTTTAGAGGGTTGGAACTTTCAGCCCCACCCCTGACTTCCAGGGAGGGGAGAAGGGCTGGAGATTGAGTTCAACCTCCAAGGGCCAATGATTGAATCAATGATGCTTATATAATGAACCCTCCGTAAGAACCCCCAAACAACAGGGTTTGCAGAGCTTCCGGGCAGGTGCACACATCGAGGGGCTGGAGGGTGGCTTCTCTAGATAGGGGGTGCAAGCTCTTGCCCTCTGCACTTCTTCTATTTGGCTGTTCCTGAGTTGTATCCTTTACAGTAAACCAGTAATAGAAAATGAAGTGCTTTCCTGAAGTCTGTGAGTCATTCTAGTGAATCACTGACCCCGAAGGAGGGTCATGGGAAAGCCTGAATTTGTAGTTGGCCAGGCAGAACAGTGGGTAGCCTGGGCACCCCATGTGTGGCTGGCATTGGAAGCAGGGGCAGTCTTGAGGGACTAAGCCCTTAACCTGTGGGATCTGGGCCAACTCCAGAGAGTGTCAGAATCAGACTGAATTGAATTGGTGGGCACCCAGTTGGTGTCAGAGAATCAAAGAATTGGTTGGTATGAGGGGAAAAAAATCTCTTTCAATAATACTGTGATGGTCCCTGACTTATGATGGTTTGTCTTAATGATTTTTCAAGTTTACAATGGTATGAATGAGATACACATTCAGCAGAAAACACACTTTGAGTACCCATATAACCATTTTTTTCACATTCAGTATTCAACAAATTTCATGAGATATTCAACACTTTATTATAAAATAGGCTTTGTGTTAGATGATTTTGCCCAACTGTAGGCTAATGTAAGTATTTTGAGCGTGTTTAAGGTAGGCTGGTCTAAGCTATGATATTTGGCAGGTTAGGTGTATTATATGCATTTTTGACTTCATGATATTTTATTTTCAATTTATCATGGATTTATCCAGATATAACTCCACCATAAGTCTAGGAGCATCTGTATCCTGGTTTAGATGATAAATCATATGCTCTCCTATCTAAAACAAAATGGCTCTATATTTTATTTCTGGATTATAAAGCCATATTAAAAACAAGTGTAACAAAATGACAGATGTCCTTTGGGTTGACGGGTGAATCAAACACAGAGGGACTCCTGGTGCTTAGCTATTAGTCCTTAAAGTCTTCTAGTTACAGCTTATCTAAAACACATACATAAATTCCTCAATTTCCAGAAGGCTGGGGAAAATCAGGCTCCTCCCAAGAATGGGGGTGGGATGGGATGAGGAGGAGGGGCTATATTCTGCAATGAAAGTGCCAAAGCCAAGGGTTGATTAGCCACAAGCTGATTATCAGTCTGTGATTATCCCAGCCCTTAACAAAACTTCTCCTTCCTTTTCCTTTTGGATCTTCTATTGTTCATTTGCTACTCCACCCATGGGCTAACAGGGTCAAGGGAAGAAGGTAAAAAAAAAAAAAAAAAAAAAAAAGCTCATTTGGCAGCCCTGCTAATAAATTGAGTGGGAAAGAAGATAAAAAACAATCACATTGTTTCTGGTTACCTATGAATTTAAACCCTTTTGGATCATGCCATTTTCCAAATTATTACCAGCTGGTTTGAAGGCTCCTTGAAGGCCTACTGATTGCCAGTAAAAGTAATCTTGTATTTCCAAAACCATGTGATCTTCCAACAATAGGCCTTGGGAAGCCTGCCTTCCTGGTTTACCAAGGACACACAGTGGGGCAGGGCAAAGACCTCCTCTCATCAAGGCCCTTCCTGTGTCCTTCCCCCCACCTTAGCACGAATTCATACGTGCATATGGATAGAATTGTTTACAAATATTTTTTGATGTTGGCAAGAAATTATTTGACATCTATTTAAAACCAATAGCACGATCACTTTTATATAAAAGGATGCAAATGGAAAACCCTACATGTGGGAGTAGAGATTCATGTGCATATAGATTATATCGCAATTTTTCCTAATTGCATCACTAGGACAGTTATGAGTACTTCTGCAAGGCAACCAGTGTAAATGTTTAAAACATTCTCTGTTCACATGTGTTTAAAATGTCTGGAAAAGAAACTACCCATGTGCAAAGTCAAATAGCCAGATGCTGCCAAACTGAAGGGAACTCTCTGTCCTTTTCCAAAATAACTTGAACGTAGATGGCTATTGAGTTAGGGTGTAAAATATGAAAAACTACCTGTTGAAGTAGAATAAGATTACCAATGAAATCTCTGCAGATTAGAGAGGCGCTTTCATGGGTGTCTGGGTGTGTGCGGGTGGGTGAGGTGAGGGTGGGTATCTGTTTTCCACTCTCTGGGCTGCAAATAAGAACAAGCTAAAAAGGTGGAAGAAGTTCTCTCTGCAGCTAAGAAGGCAACACAAGCTGGTCTTTCTCTGCCAGGCCCTGGATCAGTAATAACGCTAGCATTTTGAGGAGCATGTGTTATCTTTGATCTTTGGTTAATGGTTAAACAAAAGCTTTCCCTTCCAGAGCTCCTTGAAAGCAGAAGCCAGTGGTGCAGGAAAGCAACACTGCAGGGAGCCCCAAAATGCTCCAACTTAAAGGCCTAGCTGAAGCTGAGCAGTAAATAAGGCAGGTAAGTCTGTTGAGAGAAGCTTCCTCCTTTCTTTTGTTTTTTTTGTTTTTTTTTTTTGAGGCAGGGTCTTATTCTGTTGCCCCAGCTAGAGTGCCATGGCCTCATCATAGCTCACTGCAACCTCAAACTCCTAGACTAGAGTGATCCTCCTGCCTCAGCCTCCTGAGTAGCTCTGGCTACAGGCATGTGCCACCATGTCTGGTTAATTTTTCTATTCTTTGTAGAGATGGGGTCTCGCTCTTGCCCAGGCTAGTCTTAAATTCCTGCCCTCAAGCGATCCTCCTGCCTCTGTCTCCCATAGTGCTAGGATTGCAGGCATGAGACACTGAGCCTGGTCCCTTTCTTTAGGTATTTAAATTTCTTTTAAAATCTTACTCTACATTATCTCTTGACTTAAATGTTTTATGCAATAGGGCTTAAGTTGATGAGTCAACGATGTAGGATATTTTAATAAGTTCTATTTAGTATAACATTTTTAGCTAGATTGTGTGCTGAACACTCTGAGGCCCACCTAGCCAGGCCTGGGAAGACCCTTGCTGATGGTCAGGAAGGGAGGGATTATCTGCAATCAGAAGAGCAACATGAGCAAAGGGATTCCCCAACCATTCACCCCGGCAAGCTCTTTAAACCAACAGAACGGAAAATGTGCAGTCATGGGGACCAGAACAAATAGTATTTATTTTTTCTTTACCCATAGAGTCTTCTAAGAGCAGGCCTATGGAGGTTTTTGGCTTCCAAAGAAGTCTTTAGAAAAAGCACCACTTGGCTTTTGTGGACCACCTGGGAGACAGGCTCGTGTGTATATAGGATTGTTTTCCTACTTGTCTAATGGCCTGGACTAAGTCCAATGTGGAAGGTAAATAAAAACAAGGAAAAACCATAACCACTTAGCCTGTGCAAATTAGGGAAAAGAATGTTGAGAAAAAATAGCCTAGAGTCAGAGTGAGTCAGAGTCGGTGAGGCCAGGAATATCATTCCTCACCCTGTACGTAGCTCTGGACTTGCAGGCCCCTGCTTTAATCTCCCTTCCCAACATGAGACGTAGAAGAGGGTTTTATTCGGAAAGAGAGGGTAAGCCTCCCATTCCTGCATGATTTGGTACTATCTTGGGTGAAATGTACTCACTAACAAATTATTTTGGCAACGCCTGGCCCATCCCCTGCATGGAAAGGCTGCGATGGGGAGAGGAAGAGCCAAGGGCTTTCTGCTAGCCACGTGCTCTGCCCACTCACCCTCCTGGTGACCCTGAGAACAGCTCTCAGCCTCCCGGACCTCTGCTTCCCCAGCTACATGATTTTACCCCAGACAGATCTTCTGGTTACAGGGTCAGCTGTAAGGACCTACGGCACCATTATCACCAACTTCTTTGAGACTCTCCAAAGAAAGAGCCCACGAAAACAATACTGAACTACTGACAAAAAAAGAAAACCCTCCCTGATTTCTTATTCCATCAGGACAAATTACAGCTGGAAATTCTGAGCAACTCAAAAATGAGTAGCAGTGCACATATCTCTGTTCCTCTACTTTTCCACAAAAGAAGTGTTGCAGATGGAACCAATGTTTTCATCTCAAAAAATCATCCCAAGGACTCTCTGCTTCAAAGCCCAGGAAGAACTGAAGATCAAGAAGACAGGAGCAGCGAGCAGTACAGCTCCAAGTAGTACCCAAAACTAGAGTGGGACCTTTCTGGTGTTAATTAGTGTTGCTTGGAGCTTTAATGAATGTGGGAGTGGGGAGGCTTATGGGTGTCTATTTATGATTTCCCAGAGTTCCTAATTAGCTCTATTGTTAAAAACATGAGGGGCTTTGGCAAACACAGGCCGGCCTAGCCTCATGGATGTATCTTCCTTTAACTTTAAAGGTCGGCCACAGCTCCTCCTCTCACGGTGGACTCTGCAGCCACCTCAGAGAGGACACCCAGGGTGACATCTGTATTGGCACCTCAAGGTCATGGTCCAACCCGGAGTTATCCAAAAACTTAGAGATTCACATTTTACATAAGCATAATCAGAGCTCTCAGTAGTTTAACCAGTTTGATTCTAACTCACAATTTCCTTAACTTATCAAGGTATCTATGCTTAATTTCACCCCAATTAACAAACTGCTGGACAGTCAAGACAGGCAAGTTGTTTGGGAAATGCTCGTCTAAACATCTTATAGATGCTAGAGAGCAATTTTTCTGTTGGAAACACTGTACTGCATGAATTAAACTTGCTTGGAGTTGCACTAAGCTTGCCCTTCAGCTGAAGCTATCAACACGCCTTTCCAGAAAGTAAAACCACCCCCACACCAAAGGTGCAGGGACATTCTCTAAATTTGCCAGGAGCCATGAGACACACAACAGTTCTGCTTTTGTACCTGTGGCTCCTGGTCGTGGCCGCTGGGATCCTTCTCATAGCTCTCTGCGTACAGCCTGATGGTGGCCCGCACGCCACTGGAGGAGCTGAGCCGGAAGATGAGACGTGACGCGTCTGAGAAGATGATCCTCAGGCCCTGAGACGGAGAACATGCAGAATGGATCAGCGAATAAATGAGCACACAGGTAAGAAAAATTAATACCTACTATAGGAATCAGCACATTTCTATGACCTAAAAACAGTCAGAGTCATGACAATTGATAACTGGCTCTGGACAATCCCCCAGGTGGGGCAGTGCATGAACCTACCCTGGCTGGCTGGCCACTTGCCCCTTATTCTATTCCTGATGCTTTGTGGTTACCACTGGGGGAAGAGTTAGGAACAAAACTATGAACAGATGCTCAGGTTCTCTTGGTCTAGTGGTGAGGAAACCAGAAAGAAGTGGGGTAACAAGGATGAAAGGATATTTAATAAATATCCCTCGGGCCAGGGATAGATCTGGCCTATTTCTAAATATCCCTGGGACCAGGGATAGATAGAAAGTTGGTCCTTTGTAGATCTGCTGGATGCAATCAGGGTAGACGATGCATCACTTACAGTCAGACGAATTACCCATGTTAAGGTTAGCCACACCGTCACGTGACGCTAGACTTCGCAAGTTCCTCTGTGCACGGTGGAACCCTACAACGAAGTGCTCGGGGCTAGAGCCTCAGCGGGGTTCCGAGGGTTGCTGGGCACATTGCCATCCTCTTGGCTCTCTCCACACCTATGAGTGCTGCCTTGTACTGATTGAGTTTAGGCTCAGAAAATCCCCACTCTCTAAGCGTCTCTTCTCAGTAGAGGCAGGGATATTTTTAAGTTACGACCATAAGATCACACTGTGACTTCTGTTGAAGGAAATTTGTTCTCCTAAGACAACTGATAAAGCAATTGTTGTAAATAAGCATATTGGCAGGGGCCAGAGGAAGGAAGAGGAGGGAACAAAATAATATGTCTGGTGAACTTGTTACTTCTGAAAAAGTAGATGATTCAGGCGACTTCCATATCAGACATTTTCCCTAAGCAATTTATCCTTGAAGCTTCTCTGGCTTCAAACCTTGCTCGTTAAGAATAAGCTGTTATTATTAATTATTATTATTATTATATACACACCTGCTGTATATAGCTGATTGCCAATTCTTTACCCTCACCCCCATCTGGTGACTTCTGCTGGAGGAAATGTGATTCCATCTGAGTGACTTTCTGCTTTTTAAGTTTTGTAGGCATAACTTGTTTCCATTCTCAAACTAAAAGCTTTAGTTTCTTTCCGGAGTGGTTCAAAGTCTGCCACAATTTATGTAACAAAAGAGAGCCATCTTCATTACTGGCAACCACTCACTCCACCATACGGGCTGTGCAAACAGGTTGATATCATTCAGGATTCATTCACATCTTAGAGTGGCCCTTGTGGCTTAGGTACTGGGCTGAATCCTGGGTGTACGAAGGTAGAATCACAGTATTGGCCTGGAGTAGTTTATTACAATGAACAGAAACCATTTTCTTAACCACCGGATACTCCTGAAGAGGTGAATAGTTACAGAATTCCAAATGGAGCAAAGGAACAAGTGACTTGCTATCTAGAAAGCACTGTATACCAAATTATGTTCAAAAGGACAATAAAGCCCCAGAGGTTTCACAATTGTGTTTTCAGGCATGCTTTTACAAACTCTTTCGAAGCTCTTACTTATGTTTAAGCCTACATTCTCACTGTCAATGTGTGTGGGTCACACAAGTAAGTAACTTTTGCTCAGGACTATGGCTCATCCACAAATTGGTTAAAGCAATATCAAAGGCTGAGGTCCTAACCCACCTGTCGTTGCAGATTCCAAGTCACTTGGAGCTATTCTTCTGACGATCTCCCAGAATGAACCCTTTAAAGTAACTCCCATTACACAATTAACCTCCCAAGTTAGTTGATGGCCGGTGGGAGGTATCTACTAATCAGGTCATAACAAACCATCGACATGTGTTATCTGCTCATAACTAAGCCTTTTCACAATGAAATTATGTTATTTTTTTTCCTGAGGGTAGCTAAAATAGCTTTGGCTGTACTACATGTTACACTCATAGAAAATGGTTAGAATCTACGTCTGGTAGCCTGGAATAAATTTTGCACTTGAAAAGATGATAAAGATGTGAATAGCACGCATCAGCCTACTGGCAATGACTCAACATCTTCTCTCTTTCCTAGGAAGGCAACTATGAGATCCTCGCTGAGAATCCGTGTTGCTTTTCCAGGTGAGGAGCACCACAATTCTCCTTCTCCACATAGAATGAAAGGTCATTTTAGAGCCAGCCTAGTTCTGTGCTGTGACATTCCTGGGTCCACGTCTGTTGAGTGCCACTTTGATGTGTGAATAGTTGTCTTGGATTGCTTTGGAATCTGCATCCCAAAATGAACTTAATGAATTTGCAACTCATACACGAGCCATGTTCTTTCCATCATGTGTCATCACCTACTATCAATTAAACCATCAGGCCAAAGTAACCACTGACTAAGACTTGCCAAGTTTCTAATCATTCCTGAATTTCAACAAGAGAATACCAATAATATAATTCGTTTTTATTTTTTTGCATATACCAGGAATTGGCAATATGCAGCCTGTAGGCGAAATAGGACCTGCCTCTTGTTTTTATAAATCAAGTCTTTTTGGGACACAGCCATGCCCATTCACTTATATATTTATTGTCTGTGGCTGCTTTTGTGCTATGGTGGCAGAGATGAATGGTTGTGACAGAGATCATCTATCCCACAGACCTAAAATATTTACTATCTAGCCCTTTACAGAAAATGTTTGCTGACCCCTGGTATAAACCATTAATATTCCCTACAACTTAGAATGCTTATCCTTCAACACTACACCAGAACATAGAAAATATAACCTTCAGCCTTATCAAAATCTCAGTAGAGAGAAACAATGTCTATGAAGACTGTTAAAAGGTTGTACAATTACTCCATTTTATGGCTAGACCCAGCAGCTTCTAGCCATAGATTCATCTGGCCCAAATCAACTTATTTCTGACCACCTACTCCTGACAGAAATAGATTTATTAAACTGCATTTTAGTTTTATATTCTCACGTTTATTGCAGGGTGCTACAAGTCATGGTCTTATAAAATCCACTTTTGTAGTCACTATAGGAATATTGTTAGAGACTGTACATGCTCCGCATGAGACACTTCCTCAAGAGCCAAGTATTAGGAAAGCCTTCCCTTCCCTGAGGAACGGGTATTCTTTTTCTCTCTGACAATACGGACTTTGCAACTAACCATATTTCCCTTTTCAATATGGCTGCCAGGATACTTGATGCCAAATTTGAGGTTCAGCCCAAGTGGATCCTTATGACTTGCATAGCTATAAATTTTTCTTCTTCTGTTCTTGACTCTCTACTCTTATTTATGTATTCCCTAGTCTTGATTTCTGTTTCTTATTTATACTCTAACAACTTCATTATGTGCCTTTGCTGCCACAAATCCTCTTGAGAAACAAGGCCCAGTGAAAATGAATAGAACAAGTTCCCATCACAATGTTAACCCTAACATTTTGGAACTGCTGAGTTATGTCTGTGGGTCCTTCATTAGCTAAAAAGCTCTGGGAAAGCAGAGCCTTATACCTTGTCCACCATTTTATCCTCACAGTCCCCAGGACAATGCCCGCCCGGCACACAGCAGACCCTCCATAAACATTTGTTGAGTGAATGTCACTGCATGTTCAACAACTAAAGTGAGCACCACTGGAGTACCCACTGAGGCAGTCTCCGAAGGCCTCACTCCACAGTTAGTGAGCACTAACAGGCCAACCAAAAATACACTCATGTTCTTCATGCTGAACTAGGGCTAATGTGTCCACCTTGAAGAGTAGTTGCAAGAGATAAATTAATAAATGGAAACTACCTGGCATAGCATCATGGCAGTTGCTCTACTATGTCTGTTCATCCTTTATTTCTCAAAATATCCCAAGACAAGGGTTGGTTTTGGCTGAAAACAAAGGAGTTGAACCATGGTGGGTTCCTGGCCCCCCAGTTGTATGATCTTAGACAAATCATTATCAGTCCATTAATTGCAAACTGCGACACATCAGAATCAGTGGGAGGTCTTTAAAAAATGGTGGTGCTTGGCTCTCACCCTAGACATTGTGATTTAACTCTTAAGGGACATCACTTGGGCATTGAGATTGCCAAAGCTTTCCAGGAGATTCGATTGTGCAGTTAAATGTAGGAGCCACTGCAGTAACCTTTTTTTCTCTGGGTCACCTGCCTCTTCTATCCAGTGACTGGACTGTGCTACATGTCAGTGGTAGGAAGGTCCCTTTAGGATTTAAAGCTTCACGCAGATGCTACCATCAGACTGGCTCCTTCGGAGGACCATAACATAGCAAGGGCTAGTAAAACAATATCATGCTACTGAGGCCTGAAATCTTCCTCCTAGGGCCTTGTCAGCAGCAGGACCATCAGAAGTACCTCCTCTCGAGCCATCCGACACTAACTGTTTTTAGCACAATCTTCTAAGATAATCCTGGAGCAACCATGAAGGAATCCATGATATCTCCCCACCGACAGCAGCTGTGGTAGCTGGCATATCCAGGATGACACAACAGCCACAAGCTCAAAAAATGGAAAAAGATGCCCTCCTCCATTAGAGGACAATGTTAATTGTGAGGCAGGGTGTGGAGTATCAGAGGAACACTTCAGTTGCAGCCTAGCGTTTTTCTTCCTTTGCGTGCCTGTGGATGTACGCTGCAATGATGACAGTGCAGTTTTGCCCACCTTAGCTTTGCCCCAGTGAAGAATGATTGTTGAAAGATTTCATCTCCCTTGTCCACATGCAGCTATTTCCACACAAAAATCTTCAAGTCTGCTTCCAGTTATCACTGCAGCTTCTCTTTTCCCTCCCCAGATTTGCCCTATCTTTGATTTACTGTTTATGGAGAGTCAGTTTGGAAATGATACAGGAATAGCAACTGGATAAACTCAGGGTAGAATTCTGGCTTGGCCACTCTTTAGCTGGTGGTCTTGAGTAAGTCACTTAAGCTCTCTAAGCCTAAGTTTCCTAAAAAGCAGATGAATAATAATACAGCCTGAGTTATTGGGTTGTTGA